ACGATCCCTGAAGTTGAAACCAACACAGTAGAAGCATTTGAGGAGTACCATTTGTAATCAGCTGATACTTTTACACAACCTACATAGTTCAAAAAATCCATTGACCGTTCGATGACTACATGTAACTTAAAACCTAAACTAGATAAGGAAACACAAAGGAGACAACCTCCCACAGCCTTCAGCTCCACCTCTTGGTAAACTGCAGGAGCCCATGGCAGGTGGACAGCTTGAGATCTTGGGTTACCATTCGGAAGAAATTATACGTGATCACAAACGAAAATTTATTCCTGAACTTTCGGAACCTATTAACAATGGCAATCAGAGGATGCCTAATAAGTTATCTGGACTCTCTAATATGACCATTCACTACAAAAAAAGCATATAGTAAGGGTTTACTCTACCATGGGTTTTATAGGGAAAAATCCCAGAATACACACGTTTAAAAAAAAAAGAATTCTAAAAATACACACGTTTTATGAAAAATTCTCAAACTACACATGTTTGGGCATCGTCGCAGTTGACAAACGCAGTGAAATGCATCACAATGGGAGAGGACAGCAGTGAATGCATCACCGCGGCTGTCGGCCGCTGTGAAGGCCTCACCTACGCTAAAACTTTAAACAAATGTAACTTTACACTCCGTTATCCGATCGTAGGGAAATGTTTTTTGATTTCGCATAATTTTTCGAGATCTTTCAATCCTCTAACATTCAAAGGCAGTTTGGTCCTGCCTTTGTACCGAAAAAACATCGTTTGCTACCCCGAATGAGCAAATTTTTTATTTTGCCAAACTTTGGAATGCCATAACTTTGTGCTCCGCAATCCGAACGTCATGAATTTTTTTTAATTTTGCGTAAATTTTTAAGGACTACAACTTTTTTAATAGACATAATTTCCGAATGTATTTGGATTTGTGAAAAGTAAAGACAAAGTAATTCCCAAAATCCCGTATATCCAAGAATATTTCTTGTTTTGAAAATTCCTTCCTAGTAAAAGTTGTAGTCCTTAAAAATTTATGTGAAATAAAAATATATTCATGACGTTCAGATTGCGGAGCACAAAGAGATGGCCTTCCAAAGTTTGGAAAAATAAAAAATTGCACATTTAGGGTAGCAAATGACGTTTTTTAGGACAAAGGCGGGACCAAACTGCCTTTGAATGTTAGCTGATTGCATGATCTAAAAAAATTGTGCGGAATAAAAAAAATCGCTACAATCGGTTAACGGAACACAAAGTTACGTCTGTTTGAAGTTTCACCGCAGGTCAAGCCTTCACCGCGGTCGATAGCCGCGGTGATGCATTTACTGTTGTCCTCTCCCGCAGGGATGCATTTCACTGAATTTGTTAATTGCGGTAATGCCCAAACATGTGTATATTGGAAATTTTCATAAAACGTGTGTATTTTTTGAATTTTTTTTAACAAAATGTGTATTATGTGATTTTTCCGCATAAAACCCATGGTAGAGTAAACCTTTAATATATGCTTTTTTGTAGTGAATGGACAGATTAGAGAGTCCATATAACTTTTTAGGCATCCTCCGATTGCCATTATTGTTGTTCGACGATGTTCGGCGATTAGAATGAGTATTGGCTATGACATCGTTGGCTCCTCTAATGTAAAGAAATGAAGAATCCTACATAGAGTGCATGATTATAGTAAAATAAAAAGCATAAGAAAATAAATCGAGTAAATTGAGTTGTTAGAGTTTTGATACCATGTCAAATCACTCGATTACATAGTTGATAGTAGAGAGAAATTGTATTGCAGTTTATGAGAATTAGCCAAAAGATGAGGAAAGAAAGTATGTTGTGACTTCTCCGAAAGTCCAATGATATAGGTACCGACTATTCCATTCAGATTTACAAATCATTTTAATCATACTAAAAATGCTAACCTAGTCCTTAATCTTGTAGTGCGACAAGCTAGTACTAGACATGTCATAATGAATTTTGATGATGATCTAAACAAGCCAAACAAAGTAACAAACTTCCTAACATTAGTAGAGTGTAAATTTCTTTCAATTTAGTTACTTATTCATATTTTGGAGATGTTTTTAGGCTTATCTGTTAAGGACATGAAAGGATAGCATTTATGTTTGACCATTTTTTCTGGCACACTAAGATTTGCATGAGGTTGTGATTTTTATTTTATGGTTAATGGGACCGTGATCGCTTGTATTACAACCTTTCATTTTATCTTTCTTTTTCTATAGAGATTTCAATGGTAATACTACAAAGGCGCTACCCATTTTTTCTCTTTCTAATTGTCTCTTGAAAATATCATTCCTAGTTCATTGATTATTCTTTTCAATCAAATTTCTTAAATTCATAGAGTAATACAAAATAGAGATCCTTCTTAAGAACTTAAGAAGGATCTCTTAAGTTTTGTTTTGTCTTTTTGTTTTCGCCAATACTAGCTGGTGAAAACCCAAGGTTTTTTATTCTTCTCCTTCCTCTTTCTTTGTTATATATTACTTCGTTATTGTTACCTTCGTTAGGTTTCTTAAATATATCTGAAAGTATTATATTTCTTCAAAATATATGTATATATGCTACGGTATTGTTTCCTTGGTTAGGTTTCTTATGAAATTATGTTTCATACATATATGATTATGCCTACTTTTTGGGAAAACTTCTTTTGAATTTTCTTTTCTTTTATTTACAATTTTCTTTACTACTGTCTTGCAAATATGATGATCTAAATAAAAAAAGTATGGAAAACATTTTCTAGTCAATCATGTAATAGCTTGCAACCTACCTATTTAATTTTTCAATGTTATGCCATTCCTGTTGGATTTGAGCTCCTTATCACATAACGAAAGGGAATTGGTAGGAAACTATATAAATGACATTTTGTAATAATAATATCGTATTACATTGTTTTTGCTTATTATTTCATATAACTATCTCCTTTGAACTTGAAAGCGCATTCTTTTCAATGACATTAATCCTTTGGTTGATTCATTTCTAGGAACCTGAATCCATATATGCTACATGTATATTGGATGGAAGGGGAATTGGAAGACAAAATGATTTAGGCAGCATTAGAACTTCAACCTTTTGAAAGGGACAAGCCTCTCCAAGCACTGTTGACCTCTGAGGATAATTTGAGGAGAAAATAACTTGCCAGAAACCGGTTTCCATCTACACACCATACATTTTTTTGTGTACTTTGTGGCATCCAAGAAGTTGCAATGGTAGAGGGCAAGATTGAGAGAATCCTACAAGTTGATGCTCTAGAGGGTCTTCCTGTGGCCTCAGAGAGCAATGTCTTTCCCATGATTCCAGATACGGATTCATTCTTGCTAGTGCCCAAAAATAATGATCTTGGGAAGGAAGATGATGGTGGGGATGAAAATGATCATCGTCATCAAGATGAAGGTAAAGTCGATGGGCAAACAACAGTGTCAAATGGTGGACACGTGAGAAGATTCTCAACGGGGAACATTAGCATCCCATACACCAAAGTAAAAATCCTTTCCCGATACCTTGCCACCTCGGGTGGTTCTTGCCACGATTACTGCAAGTATGGAGCGAGAAAAGAAGGTGAAGAATGTGATCATGAAGAGACACACAACACAATGAGTAGCTCAGGCACTTTGAGGAGGTTCAATGATACACTGGGAAAAGGGCATCATGACATGTTTAAGCAAGCTGCTGCAACTCTGATGGAGAGGAGGAGGAAAATGGCAATATCCCACGTCACTCCAGCAAAGACGACTGTGGCTTTGAGTACGTGTTCTGGGAGCCCCAAACTTGATTCCCAAACTACAGGGAGTAGTAGAAAAGATGTCACATCGAATAAGAGAGGAACCAATAGTAGTATTGTTTCAGAAGATGGTGTTTCCCCAAAGCCTCAAAGACGTAATCATTCTTTTTCCAAGAATGGTACTCACAATAATCCATCCAGACTTGGCTCATCATCTTCCTCGGAACTAGGTGTCCTTGGCAGCCCAAATTTGTACCCATTAGTGAAAAGAGATGTGTCGCCCTCTGTGAAGAGTACAACTCCCCTGCCCAAACCAGCAACAGTACTATCAGAAATTGTTGCTAGTCCCAAACCTCAAAATCCCAGAAGATCAGTGTCGGTGCCTAAGGTGGAAGGTTCATCTTCAGCCAATAAGCTGCCCATCTTGTCCAAGATCTTCTCATCCTCGTCATCATCTTTGGCAGAGGTTGGCATCCCATCATCATCAAGCCATTATTCGAAGCCCCAGAGAGTTGAGGCTTTTGTTTCTCCGTTTCATAGGAGAGGATCTAGCATGTCCAAATTGTCACTCTCACTTAATGACGTTCAAGTTTCCAAAATAACTAGTCTTGGTACACAACAGAGGACAGAATCAAGGCGATGCAAGTCTCATTTACCAAAAAGCCTTAGTGCTAGAGAAGATAGAAGAGAGCAAAGAACTAAAAAGTTGGAAGCTTCAGTGACTAGTACTCTGAATTGGGGTTCCATTTCTATGAACAGAAAGACTGTCGGTTCTACAAGAACAGGTGCTAGTGAGGAAAAAGAGACTATTTCTTCTCCTGCAAAGCACAAGTTCTTGAGGAGACAATCCATCTCGGAACCTCTTAAGAGCCCAGGCAGAAATCCTTCGAGATTGAATCTTGAGAATATGAAGGCCATCTCTCAGTCCAAAAAGGATCAGACCACCAATAACAATATTAATGTGAAGAAGCCTAATGAAATGGAGCAACTCAAGAATGAACGAGTTGAAGATCCAATAAGCACAGCATCTATTGATGTTGGTGACCAGAACATGATTAATATTGATATAGAACCAACAACAACTGCCATGGAGAAAAGAGGTCCAATCATAATAGCTTCACCAACCAATAAAATTGAGGCTAACGGCAACCATAATGCACCGTCCACAAGGGCAAGGAATATGTCGACGGGTGCAAAGAATCACATTCGTAGCAGCAACTCTCATCTGTTCCATGAGAAGTACAAGATCAATCTACGGCGCTCCAGAGCTCGATCTGTGATTTCTGAACCCATGGCTAGATCCAAGGATTGTCACAGTGTAGTCTCATCGACTGAAAGTTGTGAAACCGACCTTGTCCTAGAGCAGAAAGCATTGGATAGAGTTATAACTTCCAGGACAAGTAACAGACGCACAAGACGTGGGACCATATTGAGCATTGGCAACCGAGATGAACAGCCTAGGAAACTTCATTTCAGGCCGGGTAGAGTGATCGAGTTCAAGCCTGAGATTACTAGCCTCCCGAGGAGGCTCAAGTTTAAGAGGAGAGCACCACGAAGCGATAGCTCACAGTCCAAAGTTGAGGTGACTTCTGGTGTGTTAAGGAAGGGTGGCGGGAGGAGAGAAGGCCCTCCTCGTCGAGTCGAGTTTATGGATACTGAGAAAGTGGTATTGAGACACCAAGACATGCAAGGAGAGAAAGTGTTGCAAGCTTCACAGAACAACGTAATCGAAGAAACAGCGAGTAAGCTGGTGGAGGACAGGAAGAGCAAAGTGAAGGCTTTGGTTGGAGCTTTTGAGTCGCTGCTCACTCTTCAAGATTCCAAACCCGTTCCCACTATTAGTGTATGAGCACATCATCATCAACTGTACATGTCGAGTGGCGACGTCTTTTTCCAAGTGTCAGTGTGTTGTTAGTCGCATGTATACATACATACATGCACACTTACATTATACTTCAGAAAGGGGGAAATGAAGAAACATATATACACATTCGCCAATGCACAACAAAAAAAAACAAAAAACAAAAATGAAAGCAACCAGGCATAACATAAATAATGGTTTGATAGCATTTACTTCAGTTCAACTCTTACTTCTCCCCTATTGATATAAAGTGAAGGTGGAGTCTCTGTCTCTTTCACCCCATTTTTTATTCTCTCAAATACTTGTGAGTTTCAGATGGTTATCATAATGCAATAAAGAGTATTTTTGGTTGAAAGAAAGCTTCTTAATTTGCTTTCAAAAATATATTCAAATTTGAAGGGAGATCTAACTCTATACTAATAGTAAGGAGAACTAGAATATAAAGAGACAAAGCATAAACAACAATATTTTATTAGTACATAACTGTTTGGCTAGTTCTTAGTGCAATTCTCCCTAAATGAATAGCATCAACCTATTGATTTCACTACAACAAAATGAAAATATGGCACCATTTTAGTATGCCAACAATTTTCTTAACTCTTACCGCTTTATGTGGATTTGCATAGAGAACCTGTAACACCCTACGCTGTACGTTTTGCCTGATCATATTGTTCACACAATTGCAGCGGAATTTAAAACTGGTGTTACATTAATTACCAAAAATCAACCAATAAAATTTTGACATGAATTACTCGCGTAATGGGCTAACAGTTGTTGCAATTAGACCTGCAAAATAATTTATCCGAATTCCTGATTCGTAGACATACATATATACTCACAACCATGTACATTGGCTTTCGTAGTCATAGTCACACTGTCGTACTCTGCAACTACATACCATACTTATACATGTCATAATCGTCACTACATACACCACCACACACATATACACATATAATCAACTTTCCACACCTGTGGATATCTCACACTACATTAGAAGCTAGTATGCACATGAAAATGTTCTCAAAATATTTTTACAAAAAGGTGTAGATCACTGGCCAAAATCCCAAGTAGTCATCAAAGCACAGAATAGTTGAAGACCACACCTCATATTGCCTTCAACTCTTGCTCAGCTCCCACCTATACACCTATCTACTGCTGCTGCTGATGATGATGATCTGCTTACACATGGCATAAGCAAAGAAAGAGGATAAAAGGGGGTCAGCTCATGGCTGAGTGACACAATCAATGCATCATGAGTTCATAACAAAGCATACCCCTACCATACAACTAGCAATCAAGCCCAAACACTGGGATCTGACCTCAGCCTTCCTCATATCCCAATGGGCAAAAGACTCAAACACCTTGACTTATGCATATGCGCCTTATCATGTTTTACTTATAGGGTCATGGCTACTCCCATGCTAATTACTCTCGTCGGAATACGGACCAAACTCCTCGTGGATGTGGTCATATCGGACCCACCACTGTCGGTGTAGTCATATCGGACCTGACACCACTCTGGTGTGGTCATATCGAACTCAACACCACTCTGGGTGTGGTCATATCTCACGATAAATCAACGGTCAACACCACATCAGGGGTGTGACATAACATATCATAACGGAGTAATAGCATGGGGAGCCCTAATTACTATGTAATTGACCATGAGACCAAAATACTCATATTTGGTATCCTTATACATGCTTCATATCTCATCTTGCTTAATCATAATTCGTTACTTGCACATGTACTTGACCTGGTCATAATTGGCTCAACATAGGTAAACCAGAAGTTGTATAGTTGCACTTCCTCGGGATAAACCCTCGTGCAAGTTAATCAGCTAAGTTAATCAGCCTAATATTAATTTAATAGGCAAAGCTCACTACAAGAAACTGTGCATTTAGTGTCGGTTTTTTCCAACTTTAGTAGCGGTTAAAACCAACACTAAACCAACCGGTGGCGTTTTTAAAACCGACAGGGAATCAGGCGACACTTTCACCTTTAGCGTCGGTTTTAGGCAACCGATGGAATGACCGACGTTAAACCACAAACTATTGCGTCGGTTTAAAGCAAGACAAAATCATACTACAACCGACACCAAAAAAATTAATTGCTCTGTTAAAAAAAAAATTTAGCGCTTTACTTGCGGTTTAACGGACGCTAAAGTATATGAATTTTTTATTACATAAAAAACAATCTCTTTACTTGCGGTGAAACCCGCCACTAATGTATATGATTTTTAAAAAAAAAGCTTTGCCGACGCAGACCCACAACCCCATCCATTCCCCTTCCTCCGCCGGCGCACCCCTAGCTGCCTGTCGTCACAAACCTAGAAACCTAAATACCCAAAATCCCCAGGAAATCCCCACAAAACCCAAAAACCCAAGTCTCCCCATGCCTCAGTCGACCAATCCATGCCTCTGCCATCGCAAACGCACAAATGCATCCCTCCCCTTGCCTCCGCCAGCCATCCTTCTATCTGCCGTCGCAAACAAAAAATCAACAAACCCAAAAATTTCCAGACACCCACAAACCAAAAAAACCTCGACCTCCCCCTTCCTTTGTTGGCTCGTCCCTCCCCTGCCTCCGCTGGAGCTTTACTGACCATATCTCATCGTCCCTCCAAATTCTCATAGCTAGATCTGCGCCGGCAAGATGAGTCACCGATGATCCTTCTCCTTTGTTCCGCAACCAACGCCTAGAGACGCAAAAATGGGTCAGAATCTTATTTTAAACCACAAAATAGAAAAGAATCATACATGCAGACCAGATCTTACCTTTAACCGGGCTGTGATTGTTGTTATCAGCGTCACTGTCATGTGAAGAAGGTTTGGATCTGGCAGGGGCAATGAACTAAAGGAAAGCAGGTTGTTATTTGATTTATTCTTGATTGAGAGAGGACGAGAGAAATTGAGAGATGGATGATGGAGAAGCAGGATCTCTGCTTTTGTTGTTTGTTTCTAGAGGAAGAAGAGGCGTAGTGAGAGATCAAGAATGAAAGAGAGAGGAGAGTTGGACGGCAGATGAGGGTAGGAAAAGGGAATTTTCATTTTATAATAGCGGCTAGGGTTTTGGAATTTTGGCCATTGCTTTTATTTTTTTAGTTTTCTTTAATTTAAGGGGAAGGTCGAGAGAATATGTAAAGGGCGGGAGGGAAATTTCATTTGGAGGGAACTCTAGGCGGGATCCCCAAAATTTAAAAGTTGAAATTAAAAAAGTAAATTTTGATTTGGTGGCGGTTTTAACAGACGCCAATATAAACCGACAGTAAACAAGAGTGATAGTGGCGGTTATTGCTGATGCCATATCAAACCGACAGTAAAACAACCAAATTCTCTCCCGGTCGAGAACCGAAAGCAAAAAAACGCGGCCAAAGTTGATTTAGTTTCGGTTTTGATAACCGCCACCAAAACACTAAACAAACCCGACGCTAAATGCACTGTTTTTTGTAGTGGCTGGTAATACGCGAGAGAAATAAAAAGACTTCGATGAAAAGAGCTTAATCAAACTGATATGAGCAGATATTGGCAAATGGGATGCTTGAATCTAAAGAGGCTTGTAAACTAAACGAAACGATTAAGTGTAAATCGGCAAGTAGATGTATAGAACTGTATGGTGAATTTCAATGAGACCAGTTCTTATTTAGAAAGTGAGAATAAAAGCACTAACCTGATTGGACAACAATGGCTTCTCTTGCCTCAAACTTGCAAGTCTACTGCTTCGATCTCACAAGTCCTCCGATGAACTTTCGGCTAAGAGCAAGGACTCAAAAAACAGTCTCTTTGGGATGTCAATGTTCTACTTTCTTTCTAGAGTGTTTTTCCTCTTCCATTCGTCCCCCCTAACAAAGAGCTCAAGGAGCTCATTTAAAGCAAACCAAACTGCCACATGTCACTATATGATTCGTCCATTTTTTATTTTGAGTTTGAAGAGTGTGCCCCTGTTGAGGTCGGTTGGATAAGATATGGTTAGACCGAATTGGTATGGGTCGGATTTTTGGACCGGTTTTTGGGCCAAACTGGTCCTAGCGTTGAGATTGGGTTTGGGCCGAGTTGGGCCTATTGGGTTTAGATTGCGGGCCTAAACTTGGGCTTGACATATTTTGGTGTTGGGCTGATTCTGTGGACCTAGAGTATGGGCTTGAGAACTTACTGGTTTTTCTTTTCTATTGCAGGTCCACGGTTTATAAAGGAGTGGTCTTTTAATTGCATATGTATAATTTGTAACGGCCTATTTAATTACTATCTCTCTTTTATTATCGATGTAATTCTTGATGAAATGTACAATGAAAGAAATATGATGGCAAAGTATTTTTTTGTAATTATTGATTTGTTTTCATTAATTGTAATCTATATCGAATGTCAAACCATGAGTGTACTAAATTCCTAATGACTTGAAATCGATAATTATTAATTTATATTGACTCGCTACTGCTAGTCTCAACCAATATCGACTACACTTTCTTTTCAAATATAATTGTAGAGCAATGCTACAATCAATATTTTTGTTAGGAGAACGATTATACCAGACAAAATGTGGTGTCTATAGTTGCCCCCCTTTGTATATCTCTTTGTATAAAGAGTTATACAAAGTTTCTATAAAGACACCACATTTTGAAATGTGAAAATCTCTAAAGTAGGAATTGAGCTTATCTTTGGTAATAACGATGTATCCAAACTGTTAAGATGATGGTGGCCAAACATTTTGCAGCAACGATGTACTCAAGTTGTCTGTGGAAGAAATCGAGTTGATCAATTGAGAAAGATGATAGCGATAAGATCAAGCTAATCATTCGGTAATCACAATGTACTCAAATTGCTTGTGATAGAAATCAATTCAAACAATGAGGAAGATGTGAGTGACAAAGATCAAACTAACAATTTCAGAAAGGATAGTGTACTCAAACTGTTTGTGATAGAAATCAATTCAAACAATGAGAAAGATGTCAATGATAAAGATCAAACTAACAATTTGGTAAAGTATAT